ATTAACGATTTAAAGCTGAGAATTACCTACTATTTTAATTCTCCTAGATCCTGGAGTATGTCTTCATTAGAAGATTTTATCTCACACAGTAATCACAAATTAATTATAAAAATATAATTTATTGTGATAATAATAATAAAAATAATATATGTAACATGCGTGACAATCAGTGAATATTTAGGTATAACATAAGTATATAATATGGCAGTGGTTTAACACAATATAGACAGCTAAAAGCAACAGTTATATGCAACAGTTGTCAATAAGATTTACGACAAGACACTCCTTTGAAATTAACATAACACAGAATACAGCATCTCACAGCTTTTCACAGCAGCCCAGCGTAAAGCAATAAAAACATTGGCTGGCATTCAAATCACACTGAATTAACTCTTTCACTGCTAGCTACAATCCTCATAGGCAAGATATCCTATTATATTGCAATTTTTACAGCTACAATATTCTCATATCAGATCATTCACCATTCCTAGGACCATCCAATAAGAAAAATTCTAACCAGATTTTACGTTTGCAGAATATCAGAACAAGTAAATACCTCTGGATAAAAATTTGGTATGCTAACATTTGGCAAATTTACCGTTAATATATTGTTATCTTTATTCCACCTGGATTCCACCTGGAATTTTTATAACCATGTATTCCTTAGCTAATTATGATTTCTAATAATTGAAATCTGACCAAGATTTATCCAGATATATATTCCTGCTATTAGTAAAAATTAATTAATTTAATTAAATAAAACCAGCATAATTACCAGTTAGGTTGTAGATTTTCTATCAGATGTGTAGATATATCCCAGGAATTTTGAATGCAAGTATAATGAGAGAATTGTATGAAAATATATAAAAGTTTTCAGTTCTGAAGTTGTTAGTTGGAAAATGTAAAGAATTAGGTGTGTCCCAGAGAGTCTTAGAGTGTTCAAGAGTCAGAATGTCCAAGAGTGTAATTGTGTCCCAGTGTGTTTCTCTCTTCCCTTTGTCTTTACTTTTTAAAGGGGAAAATTCTCTGCACGTCACTAGTCAATAGGACCAGTAGGGAACTGTGGGTGTGTCCTCCCTACAGACTATCTAGATTTTGGTCAGTAGGTGGCGCAATTACATCACCGAAATTTCTTGTCAGGGGGTTCCATTTACCTTTTTGTATAATGGGTTAACTGAATATGGTGATGCGTTTTACATCATTTGGTTATCTATTTTATGGCTACTATTCGTCAAAGAACCTGCCATCTTCAAAGCGTTTTCCCAGTCTGAGTGTCTGGCATATAACTTTAAATGTATTTTTCTGACATGTCTAAACTCTTCTTCACCTCTTCTTACAATGGAACTTTGTAAAATTCCGTTAGTTTTTGTTTTTTTTTAAAGTACAATTAATTACTTAGTGTTATCTGTCATTTGGTGTCTGGTTTTCTTGTGTGAAACTGTGTTTAAGATTATTTATATGTCTGTTACACATATTCAACTAACATTAGTAATAATATGACATTTCTTCATTGATATTATATCCATGAGAATTCTATATTATTAACATTGTACTAATTATATATGATTAATATAATAATAGTAAATTATAGGTGGATATTGTGTGTGCATGTATATATATATATTTGTTTCTGGGTTGTAGCATTCCAACTCCCTTTTGCTTGAGACATCATGCCTTATCTCAGGTTTTATATGTAATGTTACATTAGTCGCATTCCTTTGCTCAGAACTGCATGACTAGAGTTACAGAAAGAGACATTTTTGTCTGTCTTTTCATTCTGTTACAAAATGGAGTCACCTCTGTTCTGAGGTGACTTACAATTTACACTTTTAATTTCAACAACAGCTCCCTCACAAACACACACACAGCACACTAACAGGACCCTAACATACAGCACACACACATACAGCACACACACACACATACAGCACCTTCACACATACAGCACCCACACACACATACAGCACCCACACACACACAGCACCCACACACAGCACACACACACATACAGCACCCACACACAGCACCCTCACACACATACACCACCTTCACACACATACAGCACCTTCACACACATACACCACCCACACACACAGCACCCACACACATACAGCACCCTCAAACACACAGCACAGAAACAGCACCCTCACAAACACACACACAGCACACTAACAGGACCCTAACAAACATACACACACAGCACACAAACAGCACCCTCACACACACATCACACTAACAGCACCCTCACCCACAGCACTCTTACACACACAACACCCTCAAACCACCCTCACGCAGCACACACACACACAGCAGTGTATGTATGTGTGTGTGTATAAATATATATGTGTGTGTGTGTATATATATATATATATATATATATACACACATACATATACAAGCGGCGTGTGTTTGTGCTTTAGGGTGCACACCCTAATGCAATAGGCTGCACACGCCTATGTGTGTGTGTGTGTTTGTGTGTGTTTAGTACATAGCACGGTGTGTGTGTGTTTAGTACATAGCACGGTGTGTGTGTGTTTAGTACATAGCACGGTGTGTGTGTGCTTAGTACATTGCACGGTGTGTGTGTGCTTAGTACATTGCACGGGGTGTGTGTGTGTGTTTAGTACATAGCACGGTGTGTGTGTGCTTAGTACATTACACGGTGTGTGTGTGTTTAGTACATAGCATGGTGTGTGTGTGTTTATTACATAGCACGGTGTGTGTGTGTGTGTATTTAGTACATAGCACGGTGTGTGTGTGATTAGTACATAGCATGGTGTGTGTGTGTGTGTGTTTAGTACATAGCACGGTGTGTGTTTAGTACATAGCACGGTGTGTGTGTGTGTGTTTAGTACATAGCATGGTGTGTGTGTGTGTTTAGTACATAGCATGGTGTGTGTGTGTGTATTTAGTACATAGCACGGTGTGTGTTTAGTACATAGCACAGTGTGGGTGTGTGTTTAGAACATAGCACGGTGTGTGTGTGTGTGTTTAGTACATAGCACGGTGTGTGTGTGTGTGTAGTACATAGCACGGGGTGTGTGTTTAGTACATAACCCGATTGTGTGTGTTTAGTACATAACCGCCGGGGTGTGTGTTTGGTACATATACGGTGTGTGTGTTTAATTACATATACCAGGTGTGTGTTTGACATACTTACTTAGTTATTGTGTGTGTGTGTTTAGTACATATGAGGGGTGTGTGTGTGTTTAGTACATAGCACGGTGTGGGTGTGGGTGTTTAGTACATAGCACGGGGTGTGTGTGTGTGTGTGTTAGTACATAGCACGGTGTGGGTGTGTGTGTTTAGTACATAGCACGGGGTGTGTGTGTGTGTGTTTGGTACATGGCATGGTGTGTGTGTGTTTGGTACATATGGTGTGTGTGTGTGTGTGTTTAGTACATAGCACGGGGTGTGTGTTTAGTAAATAGCATGGTGTGTGTGTTTAGTACATAGCACAGTGTGGGTGTGTGTTTAGTACATAGCACGGTGTGTGTGGGTGGGTGTGTGTTTAGTACATAGCACGGGGTGTGTGTGTGTGTGTTTAGTACATAGCATGGTGTGTGTGTGTTTAGTACATAGCTCGGTGTGTGTGTTTAGTACATAGCACAGTGTGGGTGTGTGTTTAGTACATAGCACGGTGTGTGTGGGTGGGTGTGTGTGTGTTTAGTACATAGCACGGGGTGTGTGTGCTTAGTACATTGCACGGGGTGTGTGTGTGTGTTTAGTACATAGCACGGTGTGTGTGTGCTTAGTACATTGCACGGTGTGTGTGTGTTTAGTACATAGCATGGTGTGTGTGTGTTTATTACATAGCACGGGGTGTGTGTGTGTGTATTTAGTACATAGCACGGTGTGTGTGTGATTAGTACATAGCATGGTGTGTGTGTGTGTGTGTTTAGTACATAGCACGGTGTGTGTTTAGTACATAGCACGGTGTGTGTGTGTGTGTTTAGTACATAGCATGGTGTGTGTGTGTTTAGTACATAGCATGGTGTGTGTGTGTGTGTGTGTATTTAGTACATAGCACAGTGTGGGTGTGTGTTTAGAACATAGCACGGTGTGTGTGTGTTTGGTACATAGCACGGTGTGTGTGTGTGTTTAGTACATAGCACGGTGTGTGTGTGTTTAGTACATAGCACGGGGTGTGTGTTTAGTACATAGCACGGTGTGTGTGTTTAGTACATAGCACGGGGTGTGTGTTTAGTACATAGCACGGTGTGTGTGTGTGTTTAGTACATAGCACGGGGTGTGTGTGTGTTTAGTACATAGCACGGTGTGGGTGTGTGTGTTTAGTACATAGCACGGGATGTGTGTGTGTGTGTTTAGTACATAGCACGGTGTGTGTGTGTTTAGTACATAGCACGGTGTGTGTGTGTGTGTTTAGTACATAGCACGGGGTGTGTGTTTAATAAATAGCATGGTGTGTGTGTTTAGTACATAGCACAGTGTGGGTGTGTGTTTAGTACATAGCACGGTGTGTGTGGGTGGGTGTGTGTTTAGTACATAGCACGGGGTGTGTGTGTGTGTGTTTAGTACATAGCATGGTGTGTGTGTTTAGTACATAGCTCGGTGTGTGTGTTTAGTACATAGCACAGTGTGGGTGTGTGTTTAGTACATAGCACGGTGTGTGTGGGTGGGTGTGTGTGTGTTTAGTACATAGCACGGTGTGTGTGTGTTTAGTACATAGCAGGTGTGTGTTTAGTACATAGCATGGTGTGTGTGTTTAGTACATAGCTCGGTGTGTGTGTTTAGTACATAGCACAGTGTGGGTGTGTGTTTAGTACATAGCACGGTGTGTGTGGGTGTGTGTGGGTGTGTGTTTAGTACATAGCACGGTGTGTGTGTGTTTAGTACATAGCACGGTGTGTGTGGGTGTGTGTGTTTAGTACATAGCACGGTGTGTGTGGGTGTGTGTTTAGTACATAGCACGGTGTGTGTGTTTAGTACATAGCACGGTGTGTGTGGGTGTGTGTTTAGTACATAGCACGGTGTGTGTGGGTGTGTGTGTTTAGTACATAGCACGGTGTGTGTGTTTAGTACATAGCACGGTGTGTGTGGGTGTGTGTGTTTAGTACATAGCACGGTGTGGGTGTGGGTGTGTTAGCCCCTCCCCCGGTTGCTAGTAGAGCCGCTGTCCGAGCCCGGCCCGCTCACTGAGCACTATGCCGTCCCCTATCCCGGTGGAGCGCTTCCTGCCCCGGGACCTGTCTCCCTCCATAGACCTGAGGCCGTGCAGCAGCCCGCTGGAGCTGAGCTCTCACAAGCTGGGCAGCCTGTCCATCCGCCGGCCCGCGGGCCCCCGCCTCCCTCCCCGCCTGGCCTGGTGCAGCATTGACTGGGAGCAGGTCCGCCTGCAGGAGCCGCTGGGCTCGGGGGGGTTCGGCTCGGTGTACCGGGCCACCTACCGCGGGCAGACCGTGGCGGTGAAGAAGGTGAAACGCTGCAGCAAGAACCGGCTGGCCTCCCGGCAGAGCTTCTGGGCCGAGCTGAACGCCGCCCGCCTGCAGCACCCGCACGTCATCCGCATCCTGGCCGCCAGCACGTCCTGCCCCGGGGATCCCGGCAGCCCCGGCACCATCATCATGGAGTACGCCGGCAGCAGCACCCTGCACCGCCGCATCTACGGCCGCGGCCCCCCGCTGGGTAGGGAGCGCTGCCTGCGGTACGCGCGGCATGTGGCCACCGGCCTGGGCTTCCTGCACCGCGGCGGGGTGGTCCACCTCGACCTCAAACCGGCCAACGTGCTGCTCGCCCCCGGCGACCTCTGCAAGATCGGCGACTTCGGCTGCTCGCAGCGCCTGCAGGACGCAGCCGGCACATGCGGCACCCAGCTCAGACACCTGGGGGGGACCTACACCCACCGGGCCCCCGAGCTGCTCCGCGGGGAGCCCGTCACCGTCAAGGCAGACATCTTCTCGTTCGGGGTCACCCTGTGGCAGATGGTGACCCGGGAGCTGCCCTACACCGGGGACCGGCAGTGCGTGCTCTATGCCGTGGTGGCCTATGACCTGCGGCCCGAGCTGGGACAGGTGTTCGTGGACACGGAGGAGGGAAGGGCCTCCCGGGGCATCGTGGAGAGCTGCTGGGCTGCCCGGCCTCAGGACCGACCCAGCGCCGAGCAGGTCCTGGAAAGACTGGACTCCCTGCAAGGCCCCCCTCCGGCCCCCGGGACTGAGCCCCTGCAAGGCCCCCCTCCGGCCCCCATGACAGAGCCTGGTTCTGGTACAGACTATATGCCAACTCTGGAGGACAGAGAACTCTCTAATCACAGTCTGGTATCTGGTCCAGACTCATTGCATCCAACACCTGGACCTCAGTGCCTGGACTATGAGCAGAGATGCTCTCCTGACATTATGCACTCACTCCCCACCACTGACTGTCTGGATGGTGTGAGGCCATGGCACTGTATGGGCACTGAACAGACCCTTATTGCAGCTTATGTGGACTCCATGGAGACTTGTGCTTCTTAGTTAATGTTACAGCTAGAGAGCATGTTCTGGAGAGCAGGAATAATTGTATCCAATGATGCTTCTCACATCCAAAAAATAACTGTGGCTGTGGACCAACCTGTTGCCCAAATGAGTAGCTTCAGCGTTTAGATCTGATGGACTCGTGCTGTACTTTATGGAACGTTTCGGATAGCTGTGATCCATACAGACTTGGTTGTACACAACAGATTTACTCAAAGCAAAGGTTTAAAGCCAAAAATGGAAATCTAACTTATTACCAAGAGATGTTACATATATATGATCAATTGATCTTGATATCGACATAAAAGGCTTGCTTGCACTTTTTATTAACTGCTGCTATCTGTCAGATTGTTTTTGTTCATGTGTATTTATATATTTATTTTTGTGCACTTTAGGTGTTTTTGTCTTCTAATGGGTTAAGTACAATGACATTGTTCAGCTAGTTTATTAGTTATTAGAATTTCAGTGCTAAATTGTAATGCATCAGATATTCAGTTATGGTGTAGGTGATGTTTTAAATTTCAAACTAAAGTCCTTGGGAAGAAAACATTTGCCGTATTTGACTCTCCAAGGCACTTTCGGGAACTGTTCTACCTACCGCTTTGTACAAAAGTTCTCTAAGCTATCGTGCACTATTAAAGCAGTCTTTCTGAACTCTCTTCAGTCTTGGCAGATGCACTGTGGTGTGGTGGCTAAGGACCCTGCATTGTACTTATTTTTAAACATGAGCGGTTTGTTTCATATAGTGGCAGAACTGGGATCTATACTTTTGTTAACTTGTATGTTTCCTCAATTCAACACACCAAAATTACTAGCTAGAAGTCATTGGCTTATGTCACTTTCCATCGCAAATTAGAGCATACATCATTTGGAGGTGATTCAGCATAGTATGATTGCCATTCCATTCCCTGACACAGCTAAGGGTTCATTCCTAAACAATGGCCAAACTGCTATGTCTATGCCAAATCAACTTGAAACACGTTTCCAATTAAGCTATTCTTGGCTCAATGGCACTATAACAAGATGGTTCGTTGCTATGTTTTTTTTTTTTTTGTCGTATAATTCTATGTGTCTGTATATCTATCTTGAGTGAGCAGCTTACCAAAAATTAGGACTCTCGGGGAACCTTTTAACCTAGACCCTCTTTATTTGCACTGGTGATATGGAAACCACACTTCTACATTATGGTTAGGTGGTAATATAATAAAACCAGAATGACCCAGTCTTTAAACATGTCTGTGGCTGGTGAGGTGGGCCCTAGTTTTTAGTAAACCATCCTACTACAACTGTTTGGCAAAATCAGTATGGCACCCATTGACCTATAGCAGTTTCAATGAGCGGTTTAGGGTGGTTAGAGTCCAACTTGAAATTTTGCATGTAAAACGTTAAATAAAAATACCTTCACCCTCCCCCCACAGAATGTTTTACTATAAAAAAACTCTGAAAGCCTGGTTCTCTGATATGATAAAGCCAAAATATAGCAGAAACCTTCTTTTGGTATATTTGCTAAAGAGGCATGATAAAGACCAAACTAATATCTTGAATTGTTTGCTTCCGTTTCATCTCCTCCCCAACTTTGAATTTTGACTTTAAATTCTGTACACTAATCTGCTTTATTAATATTAAAGCCGACTGTAAAATTCTTTGAGATGCTTATTTATAGAATCACAAAGTATATCCTAGCAGAAAGTACCCTAGCTTAATAACTATATCTGAAAACTTTTCCACTCATCCCCTTCATCTGCATTTTGTCATTTTTATTGTGATTTCAGAAATAGATCCCTACATCTAATTATGCGCTGGTGACAAATTACTGCTATGAAGTTCTCTAAAATACTTTATTGACGAGGAACATGCTAAGCAGCATAATTATTACACCACTCCATGTATTGGTTATGCTGCCAGTTGTCTATTTTGGTGCCCAAAAGGTAGATCCCCAGATGTTGTAGAACTACAGCTCCCTTGATGCCCTGCATGCCTTCAGAATGACAAAGCATCATGGGAGCTGTAGTTTTTAAACCATCTGGGGATCTTTCTTTTGGGCACCTCTCCCCTAAGCTGATTCAGGTAAGGGGTTATTGTGCAACTTGAGACTGAAAATGTACAATGCTGTAATTATTTATAGGTTCATATGATAGCGGAGGAAAACCTGCACAGAGATTATGTAATAATGAATATTGCATTTTACACTCCATCAGGTGGACAAATGTCTACATTACTCAAAGTAAGCCATTACTTTCACCCGATGCACTATGTATTTTGCACCATTTCATTAATGAAGCACTTGCTTTGTAATATCTGCTCCTAAATCAAATACGGCAGCGTTTTTTGGTTTGTGGGGTTTTGTGTCTTTTTGTATTTTGTGTTTATAAACAAAACCAAAAAAAAATTTTTTAGTGCTTATGTAAACTCCTGTCTTGTCTCACTGTTCTGGTATATAGAACTGACTGTACCAGCAATGTTTCATATTTATTTTTACAGTGTATAAAACGTGGGTTGTCTTTGAACATTTTAAATTTCACAGCTGCATATGTATATTTTTATAATAAAGAAATTGGATTGTCATGTTGCCTTGGGGGGTTTTTTGTTTTCGTTTTTTTTGGGTGGGTGGGTGGGGGGAGGGGGGAGGAAGAGAGAATGTAAAACTACTGCCAGAGTATGCATAATGTTTTACTCGGGAGACATCACTCAATACAAATAGGTGTATGTTATTGCAGAGTTAGCATTTGATGTTAAATGAAAGCCCTGTTTCCCCTGAACAAAATGATATATAGTAAGTGTGGATGTACTTAAAGGACCACTATAGTGCCAGGAAAACACTCGTTTTCCTGGCACTATAGTGCCCTGAGGGTGCCCCCTCCCGGCTCTGGAAGGGGGAAAGGGGTAAAAACTTACCTTTTTCCAGCGCTGGGCGGGGAGCTCTCCTCCTCTTCTCCCCGTCAGCTGAATGCGCACGCGCGGCAAGAGCTGCGTGCTCATTCAGCCGGTCACACAGGAAAGCATTATCAATGCTTTCCTATGGACGCTTGCATGCAAGCGCCTCTAGCGGCTGTCAATGAGACAGCCGCTAGAGGAAATAGGGGAAGGCTTAACCCGTTCATAAACATAGCAATTTCTCTGAAACTGCTATGTCTATGAAAAAATGGGTTAACCCTAGCTGGACCTGGCACCCAGATCACTTCATTAAGCTGAAGTGGCCTGGGTGCCTAGAGTGGTCCTTTTAATATGAAAGAGGTGAATTATGATTGAGCAGACATGTAGCCAAACTTCAGGTTTTGTTTTGATCAGAATGTTTAGAATTGCCTTTGTCCTTGAGGGGTTAACTAAACAGAAATTTCAAGGCTCATAGAATGTAATGGTGTTAATTAAAAAAAAAAAAACACACCTATGCAAAAATAATGGAGGTTTAGTCACAGTATATAATCCTACATTGCATAGGCCTGCCACAACATCAATGTGTCCCATTCTTGGCAGGTCCTACTCTAGTACATAAAGGCTAGTCCACTTACTTGGGAAATGCTTCCTCCTGGGACTGTCTGCAGTGCAAGTTGAAATAGGACCCTGGAATGAGGCACCTGTGACAGAGGTGTGCATTGTATGATCATATACTGTAACTAAACCCCCATTCTTTTTGCCTTGGAGAGTTGTTTTTAAACTACATTCTATGAGCCTTGAAATTGCGGTTTAGTGAATGAACAAGTAAAACAGGGGTACTCAAACTCTGGCCCCCCAGATGTTGCTGAACTACAACTCCCATGATTCTTTGAATTACATAGAGAGCCAGAGAATTATGGGAGTTGTAGTTCAGCAACATCTGGGAGGCCAGAGTTTGAGGACGCCTGTTGTATAAGGCAAGATTTAGGCCACCAGCTTGGACACTCCTGAATATTGAAATGACTGTATAAGTAAAATAAAACTGAATAGCTTAAAAAGGGTGCTAAAGCAAATCAATCTGAAATGCAAAGCTCTCATGCCCAACATCCTTCAGCCAACTCCCATCCTAGGATATTCACTTCGTGAAGCCACCACAGTCCACTCCACCAGCCCCAGGCTGCAACTAGAACCTGTAAGCAGTGCCTTCTGATCCAGCCACATGTAGTGCTGTAATAGATGTCTTGATGGGATCCCTCAGTACCCTCTATATGGTAGTGATCTGAGGCACTCCATATATGTAGGCTGTGCTAAGGGGACGAGAGCCAGAGGACTCTCATTCCAGGAATGCGCTAGCAGTCCGCAGTATCCAAGGAAAAAGGGACAGAAAGATCGGTTTGCGATCCGAAATCTGAAGCACCAGCAGAGCGTCTATGCCGTTTAGCCCAAAATTATATGCAAAGCTTGTTGGAGTGTCATTGTGGACCACTGGTAAGCGAGTCCCTGGGTGATAGCCATCTTGAAACAGGGCCTCATATGGTAAGCGAAACAGTATCACAGTTGCTTGAAAGAGGCAAGGTAACCACTCCAGTGGGGGCCAGAATAACTCCGACCCAAAGGGGGTGAGCAGGTCCCACTTGAGAGCCGGAAACTCAGCTGGGTAGGGGGGCTTCAGCCATATCCTTCACATCCACAGCCTTCAGTCGATCCGAATGTCAGATCTGTCCTGCGTTGCTGGTTAGATTAGTCGGGAGTTCCCCAGGCTTTTAGAGCAGTCAGTTTGACTGCTAGATGTGTTGATTTATATTCAAATAAACAATTAATTTATGTAGTCTTGCAACGTGTTCGGTTGGCTGCCAGGCCCCGCCTCCTTTATTTTTTTTTTCTTTATTTTTACTGTGAGGTGTCCCTTTAAGTAATTATTTCCTCATATGTCAGTTCTGGGAGAGTACAGGTGTTTGATGCATGATGAATTATTGTGGATCTCACTTCTAAACAGTGTTTCCACTTGAGGATAGCAGATTGCATTTATAAATAGCGTTATTGCCGTAGGAGAGGGAATTGCGTTCAGCCTCTCTGTTTACGTGAACTTGAATTTCATTATTTCTCGCAGCATTCTTTAAAGTGGATTAATTTGATAACATTGAAAATCTGCTTAATTTATCCACTCGTATAAAGATTACTATTGATTTGCAAAGTGCCAACAAATATCACCGCACTGTACAAAGAGTGCAGTATTAACACTTGGCATAGATTAAAAGAAAGACAGGTGAGGATGAAAGAGTCTTAATCGTTACAAACTGCAGTCTAAAATCTACTGTTTAGAATAATAATCTATCATGAATTCAGTTCTATATACAGTGTCTCACAGAAGTGAGTACTCCCCTCACATTTTTGTAAATATTTCATTATATCTTATCATGTGGCAACACTGAAGAAATTACACTCTGCTACAATGTAAAGAAGTAAATGTACACCCTGTATAACAGTGTAAATTTGCGGTCCCCTCAAAATAACAACACACAGCCATTAATGTCAATATTTTGTGTGGCCACCATTATATTCCAGCACTGCCCTCATGGGCAGGGAGTTCACCAGAGCTTTACAGGTTGCCACTGGAGTCCTCTTCCACTCCTCCATGATGACGGCTAGTGGATGTTAGAGACCTTCCATTTGAGGATGCCGCACAGATGCTCAATAGGGTTTAGGTCTGGAGACATGCATGGTCAGTCCATTACCCTTACCTTCAGCTTCTTTAGCATGGCAGTGGTCGTCTTGGAAGTGTGTTTGGGATCGTTATCATGTTGGAATACTGCCCTGCGGCCCAGTCTCCAAAGGTAGGTGATCATGCTCTGCTTCAGTATGCCACAGTACATGTTGGCATTCATGGTTCCTCAATGAACTGTAGCTCCCCGGGGCCGGCAGCACTCATGCAGACCCAGGCCATGACACTCCCACCATCATGCTTGACTATAGACAAGACACACTTGTCTTTGTACTCCTCACCTGGTTGCTGCCAGACACCATCTGAACCAAATGAGTTTATGTTGGTCTCATCGGACCACAGGGCAGGGTTCCAATAATCTCTTTAGTCTGCTTGTCTTCAGCAAACTGTTTGCGGACTGTCTTGTGCATCATCTTTAGAAGAGGCTTCCTTGTGGGACGACAGCCATGCAGACCAATTTGATGCAGTGTGCGGCATATGGTTTGAGCACTGACAGGCTGACCCTCCACCTCTTCAACCTCTGCAGCAATGCTGGCAGCACTCATACGTCTCTTTCCCAAAGACAACCTCTGGATATGACGCTGAGCACATGCACTCAACCATGGCGAAGGCCTGTTCTGAGTGGAACCCGTCCTGTGAAACCTCTGTATGGTCTTGCCCACTGTGCTGCAGCTCAGTTTTAGGGTCTTGGCAATCTTCTTATAGCCTAGGTCAGGGGTAGACAACCTACGGCACTGGTGCCATGCACAGCACTCGAGGTGTCTTTCCACAGCACTCAAGGCTGCTAGAGTCAAACAGGCTCTGGCCTATCAGGAGTCTAAGTGAAACTTCAGATATCTGCTAATACGAAGAGGTGGTGAAGAACAATCCTCAATTTATGCATTGCAGCACGTAGAGGAAGTGATCTCAGGTCACTTACTCCCAGCACTTGTGAATGGGAATCCACACAGTAGTAGAGCAGCCTGCAGCGGATATTGCAGCTCCTGTCCTTGACCTGTACCTGGCCAGCCTGGTCCCCACTGGAACACAGGGAACTCACCCACACTGTTAGATATACACAGAAATGCAGAATAACCCTCCCTCGTTCAAATAATACGAACAGCCCACACACAAACATACACACAATCCACACAAATGTAACCCACTAACAATCCACATACATGCACACAATCCCACATGCAGCCTCACACATGCAATACCCCAAACAGCCCCACACATACACACACTACCAAACACACAATGTGACATATCCATCCACACACACAATTCCACAAGCAGCCCCATACGCAGCCCACATTCATATGTATCATACATAATACCATAAACTACTAATGAACATATACAATATAATAGCTCATATACGCACAAATACAACGATACAAAGCAATTACAGTAAAAATAACAAGAAGAATACGGCAGCATACACATCAATTTAAAAAAATAGGATCGGCACGCTACGGGACAGCACAATCCTATATCGGCACAGTGCTGCTAAAAGGTTGCCTACCCCTTACCTAGGCCATCTTTATGTTGAGCAACAATTCTTTTTTTCAGATCCTCAGAGAGTTCTTTTCCATAAGGTGCCATGTTGAACTTCCAGTGCCCAGTATGAGAGAGTGTGAGATTGATAACAGCAAATTTATCACACCTGCTCCCCATTCACACATGAGACCTTGTAACACTAAGAATTTACATGACACCGGGGAGGGAAAATGGCTAATTGGGCCCAATTTGGGCATTTCCACTTAGGGATGTACTCACTTTTGTTTCCAGTGGTTTAGACATTAATGGCTGTGTGCTGAGTTATTTTGAGGGGACAGCAAATTTACACTGTTATACAGGTTGTACACTTACTACTTTAAATTGTAGCAGAGTGTCATTTCTTCAGTGTTCTCACATGAAAATATATAATAAAATATTTACAAAAAATAATCACTTTTGATAGATACTGTAATTCTAAGAAAACCTTCTAC